TCATACCAACTTGTGGAAAATGGGCATCCGATGTCCCCTTTAATGTATAGCATAATGTTTATCCAAATATACTATGTTTCAGGTACCAGTAGAGCAAAAGTGACTCATGTGTTCATCAGTTCTGGTGAAAATGTCCGGCTGTCCTGTAGTGATGCTCTTCCTGACTGCAAATCAACTACATGGAACTATAACAGATTCAGCAATTCAACAGCAGTTGAACTGATTGCTGGAGGGAAAAAGAAGAAAGACACAGAGAGCCATGTGAGACTACGTCTGGGGTCTGACTGCTCTCTGAACATCAAAAACATCTCAAAAGAAGATTATGGATATTACACCTGCCAACAATATGTGAATGGAGACCTACAAGGAAATGATACACATGTTTATATGCATGTTCTTCATGGTAATTTTATGATTATGTGGTCAATTTAAAACTCTGTTAAAATTATGTGGTCGATTTATCTCTTTTAATCTCCCATGATGATTGAAGAGTCTGTGATTTGTGTGTTATTTTGTGTTTCAGTCTCTCCATCATCATCATTATCACCATCATCCTCATCCTCATCCTCACAGACTGAGATCAGTGCAGGCCGCTCTGTGACTCTCTCCTGTCAGTTGTATTCATATGATGGAGTCTTTTGTGATGATTGGATCCGTTCTGAGAGAATTGAGCTGTTCTGGGTGAATCAGGCTGGTGTTAAACTGACAAGATCAGACTCCAGATATCAGATATTATTCTCGTCAGATCACTGTATCATCACTCTGAATACAACACTCCTGAATGAAGATCACAACAGAGAGTGGAGATGCAATGTTACTCACAGAGATCAAGTCAAGACCTCAGTCACATACACTGTCGAAGGTTCAGGTGAGAAAACATCTCGAGTCTCTGATAAATGTGCTAATGTAATGGCAGATAATGCTATAGAGTTATCTTGTGTGTTAACTAACTGAAATGTAATTGTCATATTCTACAGTTTGATTTATCTGAACTAACATTTGTCCTTTACAGCTCAAGCTAATTCAGCGACAGCAGTGATTCCAGTCCACAACACAAACTCTCAGGATCCCTCAACTGCAAACACACATCAAACTAAAGGTACATCATCACTGTTTTCCTCTAGTGTTGCTTTCGTCAACGAAAATTATGACTAAATATCGTCGTCAACGAACCTTT